TTGTGACGTAGCGAGCCCACTGGGAGGAGGTTGGACGGCCATGCACTCATCATTGCCACGCTGTGTTGTGGATAGTGTGGGGATTTGTGGCAGCGTGTAAGGTCTACTTGAGATGATCGCATCGGCGCCCACGGGACTCGGGTGAGAATTTGTACTGAGAGCGGGTGAGGGAAGAGCCGTGGCTCGCGTGTCGGGGTTTTTTGTATGAACGGGACCACGTGAGGGAGGGGTCTCACCGGGCGTGACGGGGAACATCAAGACAAGCTCACGAGGAAGAGAGTTGGGAAGGACTGGAAGCTCAACGCGAGGATTTCGCGTAGCCGATTTCTCCGGAGCGTTAATCTGCGGGCCCATCCAGTTCATCCGCATGCCACCTAAAAACAGACTGGCAGTAGTATTGGACTCTTCCATATGATCCGCACTATTGTACGGTCTTGATTTAGATGATACCATCGAGTAATTGTCGAGGCATTTAAGTCCTGAAAGGGCGCTTATCGAACAAAAAAACCCTTTGGCGCTTAGATGTCATACTAGGAATAGATTTATGCAAAGGCAATAGACGCAGGTACTGGGAAACTGAGATTATGCTCATTAAAAATAACATTTATCCTACATTCTAAGGTTTAAAAATATATGATACAAAAGATATAAATATAATCGGTAGATCGGGTCCATACTACATACTGTAGTACTAAGTACGGATACTTGGGCAAGAATGACCGGGTTCAGCTGCAAGCCGTACGCAGAAATTGGAATTCAAGTTACCCTAATTTACCAGCTAGTAATTATTGTAATTACCGACCTTGAATGTGCCAGCTCAACATCCCTCTCAACCACGGAAAGTATCAAGTCCAGAACTTCTTACGATTGCAAACGTCACTGTTACCTTTTTCTTTTAAAAAAAAACTGCAATTTTCGATATTGGGTATTGGTCATATTGGTAATATATTTGTGTGTCTTCAAATTCTCGTTCAACCTTCCTTTTGGTATATATTATATATCTACCCTTTTGCACATAATCCAAAAACCTCGGGAGAGGTTCGTGCTCTCGGAGCCCCGCCAGTTGTTTAACCTACTCTAATCTCAATCTCTCTCTAGCTTCCTGACATTCTCTCCCTTTTCTCTCCCTTCTACCAAACCACATTGCTCTCTTCCAAGAGGGATACGCGCGAGATTGCATTCTGCAATTTGCCGTACTCGTTCCCAGTGCCATGTCTTGCGTTTTCCTTGACTAGAAACACGGAATATTGAGAAATGGTTACCTTGGGCCCACCACAGGGTGTTCGTCCCGGCGACATTCTGGAAGTTCTTCGTAAGTGACGTGTGCGACAGCTCGATCTTGGGGACTCCCACCCAGCTTCTAACACTTCAAACTAGACGAATTTGGCGGGCGCGGAGAAGATGAACTAATCATGTTACCCCGCGACAAGATTGAACTGGTCGAGTTGGATGAAGGATTTGGAGATGCCTGGTATTTGGGCAGAAACCTTAGGACGGGACAAACTGGTCTCTTCCCTGCGAGTATGCGCCTCCCCCAGGATCCCCTCACCCAACCCCCCGACTATTTCCCCCAGCTAATATTTGTGCGCAACTAGACTTTACCAAAGTTGGCCCCCCAAGAAAGACCCTCGCCGAGTCGCCAGTACTTGTAGAATCGCCGACACAATTAGAATCCGCCGCGCCCGATTCATCGTTCACATCGGTCGGGAGTGGGCAGAGCACCCCTCAAGCGCGCCACATGAGCTCCGATATGCAGTCACCACAAATTGTTTCTCCTTCTCCAACACAGCATCGATCTGCCTCGTCTCCGCTGCCTCGCCCAAGCCTGGCGGCCGATATCCAGCAAGCCTTTCGCGGTTCCATGGACAATCATTTGAACGGCGAAGAAAGTCCGGTCATGAATGAGACATTGAGCGTCATTGACGAGCACATCACGGATATGAACACCCCGCGTCACAGCGTGTCCACTCAAGAACCCAGGACGATTAATGACTCTGGCAGCGAGTACAGCAGTCATATTGGCCACAGGGCGTCTTATATCAATGGAAATGAAACCGACGACGAGGAGCAGAATCATCCAACCGAGCAAGAGGTGCGGAAATGGAATCAAGCACAGACCTCAAGATGCTTGCGCGGGCTCGGCATCGATCCCAAACACTGCGACATCTTTGAAGAACAAGAGATCACCGGTGATGTACTTCTTGATATGGATCAGGATTTCATCTTTATGAAGGAATTCGATTTTGGAGTCATGGGCAAGCGACTCAAGACCTGGCACAAAATCAAGGCATTCCAAGAAGATATCAAGGGCTTCAGCCAGCAGCAAGCCCCAAGAGACTCCATCTCCTCCAGCTTCTCGGGCCCTTCTGATGATCGTACATTATCTCGCGCTGGACACACGGGTCCACTTCTTCCTCGGATTCCGACCTTATCAGAGAAGACCGGCGCTGGTTATCCACGAGCTTCTGCACCGGTGCAACACCCCCGACTAGCTAGCAACAACAGCTCACCCATGACACCGCATACCCCTCCGTATAGCCATGATTCACCGAGGAGAATTTCTGCGGCATCGATCCGTGATCTCAACCAGGCGCGTCGTCATTCTTCTATTGACGCCACTCAACGCGGCATGTCTGATTCGGTTTTCGTTGGTCACCATCAAAAGAAGCCTTCATTCGACCGGTCCTGGACTCTCAATTCCGGCCCTCAATCCATGCCTGCTCGTCCAGGAACCTCGACGGGCACTAGTCCAGGTGGTTTCCGGGGCGGACCGCTAACCGCTGAGTCAGATTCTTATATCAGCACTCCGGATCAGGTTGACGACCTAGATCGGGGCTATTTCTCGGGAACCGAGGTTGACTCGCGCCGAAGTCGCCGAGTTCTACAGAAACGGGGGTCCGCCGGAGTCGGTGTAAACAATCACTCGCGGAAGTCAAGCTATGCAGAAGATCCATATAGAGTGATATCCCCGGCGAAGCGCCACTCTCGCATTGGCAGCGTAGACTCGATCCGTGAAGCAGCAAATCGTGTCTCCCCCGCGGCCCAGGCCTATCATGGCATGCCACCGAAGAGTCGGCTGCGGAGCTTGAGCACACGCGTCTCAATGGATAAAACCCAGCCGTCAACCGCCGAGAGCAAAACTAGTAACGGCGGTGGGTTCTTCGCCAACTTCCCTCTGGTCGGCAACAAAGGTGATTCGGAAAGCTCTACTTCTCGCGCTTCACCGTTACTGAAGAATGCCGGGCCCAAGTTCCGCCGAGCCATGGGACTTCGTGCCATATCCGACGTTGTTGGAAAGAAGATTGACACATCTGCGCCGCCTGACTCGCCTCGGGAGTCCGATCCCATCTCTGCTCGTACCGGATCCACAACTCCATCGGCAACGTCCAAGAGTTCGGAACGGCATAGTACAGATGGGTCTGGTAAGGCCGCCACTGACGGCCAAGGATTCGTAGTCCGTCCTCGAACCGTCAAGTCCAAGAAGGAGACTAGTGCCTATACTCGGGGTCTTGAGAAGAAGACACCGCGTGAGCAGATGGATGGTTGTGACTATAGTGGATGGATGAAGAAGAGATCTTCCAACTTGATGACGACCTGGAAGCCCCGTCTGTTCGTGCTGCGCGGTCGTCGTCTATCCTATTACTATTCCGAGGACGACACCGAGGAAAGAGGCTTGATCGACATCACCGCTCACCGTGTCCTGCGAGCAGATCAAGATCCGATCATCGCTCTACATGCAACCATCACCGGCTCAACCGCGTTGCCAGCCAATGCCAGCAACACTGTGGAGAGTTCTGGCGGCACGAAGCTCACTACTCCCTCGGCCATTCAATCGCTGACCAGCAAGGACGGCAGTGGGCCGTTCTTCTTCAAGCTCGTTCCCCCAAAGACAGGCAACTCGCGCACCGTGCAGTTCACAAAACCGGCCACCCACTATTTCCAGGTCGACAATGTCCAGCAGGGTCGTCTGTGGATGGCAGCGTTGATGAAAGCGACGATCGAACGTGATATGGGACAGGCAGTTGAATCTACCAACAAGCAAAAGACTATTAGTCTGAAACAAGCCCGGCTGATGAACCAGCGGCCACCGGAGCTGATGCCTGCTTCAGGTAACACCAATACCGAGCAGACCATCGATGAGGAAGAGGAAGAGGCAGGTCTCCAAATTGAGGGATTGAACCTCAGTCAGTCTGATGGCAAGTCGTTCGAGGACACGAACGGCAGTCTGAACAATAACAATGCAGATAAAGGCCTCGAACGACCTCTGTCTAACCCCTTCGGAGACTTTGATGGCGGCCACTCGTCCTTGCTTCCGGACCCTCTGGCCAAGACGGAATCCAAGTGAATATTCATTTGTGTGTGACCTTACTTGAACTTGTGCGAAGGATATTATATTTTGGTGATTTTTGTTTTTCTTTCTTCTTGCTGGCGTTTTATGTGATATACCCCTCGCTCAGACTTGTTCCCTTTGTTGACTCGGGCCAATTTCGTCATTGCAGGTACGTTGGTCGCCGGGGGATTTATGTGGGAGTATACGATTGACTTGCTTATTGACATGAAGTTGACTGGAGTTGAGCGTTCTTCCCTATACTAATTACGTCTGCGAATGTAGATATAATAATTTATACATGGCTGTTTACTTCTCTCATAATCCTGGAGTTCACCGCCCAACACACCGTCAGCTCTTATTATAGGCAGTATATGGCTCCTATCCTACCCACCTTGTATACAAACAGCTTAAGATATATTTCCTGACAGTAGGATCATCAATATTTGTGAGATTGTTTATAATGCCTTGACTATGATTTGTCCATTTTGTCTTGTGTAATTCAATCCTATAGCCGGTGTCACTATATATATGTGCGCGCAATCTTTATCGATTGGCGATATCCTCCCTGCCTTTTTGATTCTTCTCCTTTCCACCACTCAAGACAACTCTTTTCAATATGCTGTATAGTTCTTTATAACATTTATTCTTCTTCTGTCATTTTAGATCCCTCATGTCCCTCCGCTGGCTGCTCTCCCGCACCTTTGCGCTCCTTCTTCCACTCACAGTGACCGCCACTGTTTACCTATATTTCTACCCAGTTTTCAACGGATGCGCCTTTCCTCTGCCACAGTCTACCTCAGGGTCAGCTGAGAAGCGACTATACCATAATTCAGTGATCAACACGCTTCTCCAACATTTTGGCGGTTCAACCTCAGACACAAATAGTCAACCCGCCATCTTCAGACTCCTAGTCCTCGCGGACCCCCAATTAGAAGGCGACTCCTCACTCCCTTTCCCTGAATATGAATTATACCCCCGCATGCAGACCCACTGGCGCGCCATCCAGGAAGCAATCGGCAATGCCTCCACTTCACCTATGCTGAACGAGGACGTCCTCTCAAACATCACAACCGGTCTCCAAACCCTCGCAACTGAAGACATCCCACGCGCCTTCCATTCTGGCTTGAAACGTCTCGACCTCTTCGGCAACGACTACTACCTCGCACACATCTATCGCACGCTCTTTTGGTGGACCCGGCCGACGCACACAACCGTCCTGGGCGATTTGGTGGGGAGCCAGTGGATCTCCAACGACGAATTCGCCTGGCGTAGACACCGGTACTGGAACCGTGTGTTCCGCGGCGGAGAGCGGGTCGACGACAATATCACCAGAACTGGTGCTGTGGGCTGGAGTCAGGGCGAAGGCAGCAATGCGCCGCAGTCGGAACCTCTGGGTGCGGATCGGGCTTGGGCCAGGCGCGTGATCAATGTCGCGGGAAACCATGATATTGGATATGCGGGGGACATCAGCGAGGCGCGGATGGAGCGATTTGAGCGTGAGTTTGGCCGTGCAAATTGGGATGTGCGGTTCGAACACCCACCAATCCTGTCCTTATCTGCGTCTGCTGAAGATCAGCTTGTTACCCCTACTCTGCACCTGATTAATCTCAATTCCCTCATGTTCGATACTCCTGCACTATCTGCGGATGTCCAGAGCCATACATATTCTTATCTGAATGAGCTGATCGCCAATCGACTCTCGCCGGTCGAGGACCGGTCCGCGTTTACTTTGCTTTTGACACATCTACCCCTGCACAAGGAAGATGGCGTGTGCACTGACGGGCCATATTTCTCATTCCGCGATTCTGACGACAAGGATGGTCCCAACGGTGTGCCCCGGTGGCTTGACGGTGGTCTCAAGGAGCAGAATCATCTCAGCGATTCACTCAGCGCTAGCGCGATCCTGCAAGGCATATTTGGGCTGAGCGGCAACGAGAATGCGCCTGCTGGTGGTCGCGGCCGGAACGGGTTAATTCTTACGGGCCATGACCACACGGGGTGTGATACCGTTCATTTCGTCAACCGAACTGAAACAGTCGACGACGACGATATGTCTCAGGCCTGGAAGTGGGCTGCGAAGCGCTTCAACAAGAGCCAGCACATCGACGACCCTTCTATCCGGGAGGTGACCCTCCGTTCGATGATGGGAGAGTTCGGTGGTAATGCCGGACTCCTTTCGGCGTGGTTTGATGAGGCCGCCGGCGAGTGGAGCTATGAGATCACTATGTGTCCAGCTGGCGTGCAGCATTTCTGGTGGGGGGTTCATATCCTCGTGCTAGTGACGCTGGGTGTGGCTCTGCTCTGGTTCTTATCTTGTGATGCTCAGTCGAAGACGGTTGCTCGGAAAGTCCAAGAGAAGACTCGGGATGGACCGAAGAAATAACTAGATTGTGGATTTGTTTTTATTGTATTAAATAGCATTGGATAACTGAGCGGTTTGTACTTGGATACATATATTGCAGAATATATTTTCACATAACACTCGACATGACATAGAACTGTATGATGTGACCTTTATTCAAGTCGTGCCTTGATGTCCAGATGTACAGAGATCAAGTACGTTTACTAAGGGGTCTATGAAGGGACTACGTAGAGCCATTGGTGGTCATATCAGAGTTCATATATCGGACAGAGAAGAAACAACCAGGACTAAGTCCCCTCCCATACAGCTTGCCTAAAACCTTTAGGCCAGCCCTCAAGGTAACGGGTAAGGCATTGCAAGAGGATGTGATTTAAAAGTAATACTTCCGAGAGCTGCCAGTAAAGGGAGGGGAGGAGAAAACACCTAGATGGAGGATAAAACCGGCTTTAAAATAAACAGTTGGATTTCGTCAAATGGACACCACCTGTCCAGCTCCCATTTTAATCCTATGGTCTCATATGCACCGCATTCCAGGTCCCAAGCAGATTTGAGGTTTGGTATCGTTCTTTTTCTTTAAAATTCGGGTTTTCTCTCTTTACATGACGACACCGGAGTTGGAGGCAATACGCTGAGAGAGTGTTAGCTTTGGATCGGAGATGCGACAATGGAACGGAATCCATTTCCATGTGGAGTGTATAACGTACGGGCCAGAGCTCAGCAGCTTCCTTTCCGACGGGACCGGTGATGGCGGAACCCTTCATCTCACCCTTGGCGTTGACGATAACTCCTGCGTTGTCCTCGAAGTACAGGAAGATACCATCGGGGCGGCGCCAAGGCTTGCTCTGACGGACAACCACAGCGGGCATGACCTTCTTGCGGAGCTCGGGCTTTCCCTTCTTGACGGTGGCCATGACCATGTCTCCGACACCAGCAGCGGGAAGACGGTTCAGGCGGGCACCGATACCCTTGACGGAGATGATGTACAGGTTGCGAGCACCGGAGTTGTCGCAGCAGTTCATCACGGCGCCACTGTTTGACGAAAAAAGGACCCGTTAGTGAATTGTTCTAGATCTCGAAGACGTCGTGTTTCGAATGCTGAAAGTGGATATCCAATTTTCTTTTCCCTTTCTTCCCGCCGATCTTTTCGTATTGTTGTATGGTGTATGTTTTTCTGAGGGCGTTGATCGACTTGAAATAACATGGCATTCGGCGGGCAAGAAAAGGCGCATTCGAAACAGACTAGACGATAAGGAATTTGTAGACGTACACAGGCAGACCGAGAGTCATCTTGAGCTTGTTGCCGGCGGCACCGCCACGACTGTTTAACCGTTAGCGATTTTCGTTCTTGTCGTTTCGTTGTTTTCCCAATCCGAGTCCCATTCTATCTTCTCGAAACCAAGGTGTTGTGTTGCTTGTTCATGCTTGCAAAATTCTGTATCGGTTCGGAATCGAATGGGGCCCCGGATGGAATCGCTGTAAGACTCACCCTCTCTTAGACATGATGGCTGATGATCACGAAACGAAGTTGGGTGAAAAAGGTTGGCGACAAGAGGTCGAACGTCAAGGATCCAAACTGGAGGTGTGCTTTCTCGCTTAGTGGGCAAAGTGCGTAAAATCTTGGCGTTGGTAGGTGATTGGCTGACTAGCCCCATCGAGTTTGCCCTAAAGCTAACCCAATTTGGAGTTAGTGGTAAATGTTAATGCCTGAGGCATCTACAGTATACTTCTAGGGTTCTCAAGTGTGGTAAAGTTTGGGAAGATTGCATTTCACTGAATAATACATTTGCAACCTTTTCTTTAAAAAAAAAGCTAGGCGAAAGGAAAAGCAGATAGCATATGGATGAAGATAAAATATGAAATGATTCCTTGAAAGTTCATAAAAGCAAACCGCCATCCCCGAAACGTTTCAAGGATAAATCTCGATTTGAGTTTGTCATTCCGCCACGAGTAATGCCCCCAAGTGTCAAGCAAGATGCGAGCATGCTGTTAAACCGATAACACCTTTCTGCCATTGTCCGTTGCGCCAGGTCCGATATTGTCGTCTTTGCATCACAGCCGATTACTCCTCTTTCTTGGGTTCTGCCGTGTGTTCCACGTTCTCTTCCTTGGTCACCGTTGCTGCGGTTTCCGCGGTAGGAGCAGAAGCTTCGGCAGTCTTCTCGAGGGTAGAATCGGGGGCCTCTTTTGGAAGGGACTGGGCCCGCATAGGGGACGCGGTGGAGCCCTCGACCAGAGGCTTTTCCTCAATGATTGACGCCTGCGTTGGGATCTGTTCTGAGGTAGTGGGTTCAGCGACAGTAGCAGCAGCATCCTCCATGGTAGTATCTTCATCGTGAGGAGGAGACTGGCGTTGAGAGGTAGTGGAGGCTTCCTGTTCCTCACTTTCCATAGCCATGTTATCAGCATCAGTCATGAGGGTTTCATCAGCGTGTGGAGCTTCTGGAGCGGCAGAAGGCGCCTCGGCTTCAGTGCGTGGGACATCGGCCATCTTAGAATCAAGGGCGAAGTCCATTTCTCCATCAGCCGCAGATGAGCCATCTTGCGGGGTTGCCATGCCACTATCCAGCCCAGAGTCCGGCTCGAGGTTTCGGTAGTTGACTTGGTTGCGACGACGCATGGCGCCTGGTTGGCGACGAACACCGTTGGCAGCATTTTCATCTTCATCTTCGCTATCACTAAGCTCGCCAGCCTTTTCCGTGCGTTGGTCGAATCGTCGTTGTGTGAACCGCTTGTCTTTGTTTTCATCCTCATCGAGGTCATCCATAACGTCATCGGCATCGTCGTCCATACCATCCACCATGGGGTTACGCGGCACTTCCGTCATTTGGACTGAAGGAGCGAATGCCGTGCGCTTGAGGTTCTCGACAACCTGGTTGCGAATCTTGTCTAGATATTCTCTGGTGTTGGCGTTGTCCATGTTGGAGGGGCGGACATCAAGCTGATAATCAGGAGCGAAGTACTAATTCAGTTAGTATTAGTTCGTCTGAAAGAAACAAGGATCTTACCTCATAGTAATCATTGTATGGCAGCTCCGACCCCAGGGGTTCTCCGACAAGGATACCGGTCTCATAAGCCCATGTCCGTGCAACGTTGCGCATAGTGTAGCCACCACCGCCAAGAACCAATGTTGGCAGATCAAAGCTCTTGACGAAATTGACACAGTTGGCGTGTCCTCGCATGCTGAGATTGAAGCAGCCCAGGCGATCACCCGACAGACTGTCACCACCGCACTGAAGGACCACGGCCTCGGGGCGGTACCACTCCATTACGCTCTTGATGACGGGCTCAAAGATGCTCTTGTACGTGACATCAGTGATGCCATCACGGAGAGGGAAGTTAACTGCGTAGTTTTTGCCCTGTCCAACACCGATGTCGCGAAGCTCACCGGTACCAGGGAAGTACTCGCCGTACTTGTGGAAAGAACAGGTCATGACGCGATCAGTCGTGTAGAAGGCCTCTTCGACACCATCGCCGTGGTGAACATCAATATCAACGTAAAGTACTCGCTGTTTGAAGCGCAGCAGCTCCAGAATTCCAAGAACGATATCTACGTGGATGTTAGCTTCCGAGACAGACGTTTGAAGACCGAAGCACGATACCATTGACATAGCAGAAGCCACTTGCTTCGCTCTTCTTGGCGTGGTGAAGACCACCAGCCCAGTTGACAGCAACATCGCATTTGTTGCGGTTCAGTCGCGCAGCGCCTTCCATACTGCCTCCGGCGCTGATTCCGCAGAACTCGAAGAGACCGTCAAACACCGGGCAATCGTCTCCAACGTTATACCGGCTCTGTTCCTTTGCAAAGTGGTCCATGTTGTCGGGTGTGACTTTGGACAGGAAGTCGATATATTCGTCGGTGTGGAACTGGGTCATCTCATACTTTGAGGCAGGTTTCGCACGCTGATTTTGTTAGTGGAAAAGTTAAGTAGAACCAAAGATACAAGAGTACTCACGTAGATCTCCATTTTCTTGTAGAGGCCATAGTTCATCACCAAGCTGTGTGTCATGCGTATGCGATGGGGCTTCATGGGGTGGCCCGAGACATAGGCATAGTTGCCCACATCAGAGTCGTAGAAGTAAGCGACTTTCTTGTTTTTAGACCCGAGAAGCCTATCAGAGATAGGTTCCAAAGCCATGTTGCAGAGAGCGACTGAGTGTCACTTAGTTAACAGTGGGGGAAAAAAGTGAAGTTCAAGAAGTGTAAGTGAGATCCGGGGAATGATGAAGTAGCGTTCGTTGCAGGCGCAATGCAGATATACTCCCAGGGGGGTAAATAGGCAGCGATGGCACCTATTGTCACCAGATCCCGCAGTGCGAAGATTAGGTAGTAGAACTTAATCACAATAGCAAGCCAATGTCATTGTTCATTCAGGCTTTTGAAGAATAGATAGAGGAGAGAGAATCGGCCGCGAAGGAGCGGAAGCCGACCGAAACACACACCGCCTTCGTCAGGCAAAGCTCCCACGGCTTTGCTCATCATCAGTTAACACGTCTTCGACAACCTTGTTATCTTCTCGCTAATATCACATCTGTCGGGGATTTTCGCTATCTTGTATCTTTCTTTGAATACTGTTTTGGCAACACCAAGCTACTAGAGACAAATCGACTTGCTCCGGAGCTTCCAAATCGCGATAGCTTCGCCCTCTTTACTCTCGCTTCATCAAGTCTTGTCGGATATCTCTTAACTATGGATCGCCTTAACCGGATGCTCCAGGCCGCTCAAGGCATGGGGATGGGAGGCGCTGCTCCGGGTGGTGTAAGTTAGATATGACCTCTAATCCCCTTGTTGGGAGGCATCAATGGCAACACTCTAGCCTAGCTTCACCATGTTTATCTACATTGGCTAATGAGAGCCGTGTTTAGGATACCCCAAACCTGATTGATAACTCCGAAACTGTCCACATCTCCTCCTTGGCTCTGCTGAAGATGCTACGACATGGCCGCGCCGGTGTGCCGATGGAGGTCATGGGCCTGATGCTGGGCGAGTTCGTTGATGAATACACAGTTCGAGTAGTGGACGTCTTTGCTATGCCCCAGAGTGGCACTGGCGTCAGTGTTGAGGCAGTGGACCCCGTGTTTCAAACTAGAATGATGGAAATGCTCCGACAGACGGGACGGTAAGCCTATTAGCTGATATATACTAAAGGACTCCCCCATGCTGATAGTTTCGTACAGACCAGAAACCGTCGTTGGATGGTATCACTCGCATCCCGGTTTCGGCTGCTGGCTCTCCTCGGTCGATATCAACACTCAGCAATCATTTGAGCAGCTCACACCGCGTGCGGTTGCCGTTGTCGTCGATCCTATCCAGTCAGTGAAGGGCAAGGTTGTCATTGACGCCTTCCGTCTCATCCAGCCTCAGACGGTAGTCATGGGCCAGGAGCCCCGCCAGACTACATCAAACTTGGGTCACCTCAACAAGCCTTCGATCCAGGCTCTGATCCACGGTCTCAACCGCCATTATTACAGCATTGCGATTGACTACCGTAAGACGGGATTGGAAGAGAACATGTTGATGAACCTTCACAAACACGTATGGACCGAGGCCTTGGAGATGAATGACTTCCACGAGGAGGGCCAGCACAACGTGGAACGTATGAAACAGCTTGTTCTTCTTGCAGAGGGCTACGAGAAGCGGATCAAAGAAGAGACGGAGCTGAGCAAGGATCAGCTGAAGACGAGATACGTTGGCAAGGTTGATCCCAAGAAGCGTATGTTCTTTCTCTCTCCCTTTCTTGTGACAACTATCCCCCAAAACAGAGACTGACGATTTACAGACATCGAGGACGTAAGTCAGCAGTTGATTGAGGATAACATTGTCGCCGTCTCGCGGCAGATGATTGACAAGGAAGCTTCGGTGGCACGGCAATCATCCAAAGAAGACACAAACGGGGCTGCTATGGAAGTTGATGAAGATCTCTAAAGAGGTAGAAAAGTGTGCCAATCAAACCACTTTAATTATTTCTGATTGGTTGGGCTTTATGTTACCAAACCAGACCAGCAGATGAATGAAATCTATTCAAATTTTGACGTAACAATAATAAATCCATTGTCAATAAGAATGGTGTGGGCTATTGTTGAATGTAAGTCTGTGTCTATAATTTCGTTTCATATGATCTATGCTCCACGTAATGTATATAAATCGTAACAATATGAACAATATCCACCGAACAATGGATTATCATGACTCCAATTTGACTGTTTGAAGCGAGTTGCTCAGGGCTTCGATAACATCAGAGGAGTAGATTCGCAGGCCATCAAAGGCAGCTTCCACGTCATTGAAGTCATGTTTCTCGTGAGTGTCATTTTGAGTATCGGTCCAGCCTCTATCAGGGCCCCAGAGGACCTTTTTTTGAGCATCGCGGGTTTCCATGAGCAAGCGAGTCATCAAAGGTCCATTCTTCTCTACAGAGGGCCAGGCATCGAATTCGACCTGAACTAGACCCGGCAAACGTTCCAGGATTTGATGTAACAATTTGCCACAGAAGTCGGTATAGTAATCTTTCGATTTGCGAAAGCCCTCGAATGAAGGTTGTGAAGGGTCACACTGCACAAACACTTTCAATGTGCGGACAATCTCCATGTCGTGTAGCCCCAAGCCCTGGTTTACAATCCATGACTTTGGAGGTGCAGTCCAACTTGATCCCACAATCAATTCGATTGTGGTGATCGAAGAGCGGTGGCGTCGAGGCAAAGCGCGGATTGTGGGCATGCGCAAGAAGTCCTGTACGGGGAACACACGGAATATCTGGGTTGAATAGAAGTAGTGAGTGGCTTCGTCGTGGATTTGCCTCGAGACACGGAAAAGGGCGATGCGGTGCGAGGATGGTGCTAGAGGTTTGCTCTTCTTCGCCGAAGACCCAACATTGCCAGTGCGCTTCAGTGCATTTTTCCGGGTCGGCGTGAACAGGACATAATGATAAATTCGTAGGCGGATCTCGGACGGTAGATGGAGGAAAGGAAATCGCAGTAAGATCGGAGGTTCGGCGTCTGGTTCAGAGTCGACATCGGAGAGTTGCTCCTCAAAACGGAGCATGTTCTTTTTGAACCCCATGATTGGAATGTATGCAGATGAGTTCTATGAGATACGAGCGAGTCTAAATTTGGACAGGAAGATCATATTTCTGGTAATCAGATGGTAAAAAGAGAGAGAGAAATGCTAAAAAGATTTGTGTCCCACGATCGGAGCGCAGCTTCACGGGAAAATCCTTTGCTGCGCTCTTGGTAGTGGGAATGAAGAATATCTTCGTTGGTCTCCCCAGCTAATACAACCCGGCATGCATAGAAGAAATGCTTGATAGGTCAAATTAATGTCTGGGTGAACTTTCTGAAGAAGAAAAGAAAAAAGGAGAAGACTCGGTGGCCAAGGGAGTCGATATATAAATAAAGTGCACGGATGGTTCGTATGAGCTGCCGTACCGAGTCGCGCCGACTTTTAACGGGAAACTGTCGTTCATCCCATCATTCAGGACAGTTTTGTTCCAAGTCCCAATACACAATGCTTAGTCGTGCAGTCTTGCCTCTGACGAGGCCAAATGTCCTTGCTTCTGCCGTTCGGGCATCGACCCTGTCGGCGCGGCCCTCGCCATACGCTGCTTACAAGCTTTCCCCGGGTATCCAGCTAAGGGCGAAGTCGAACAAATCGAAGGATCCGAATACTCCCAAACCAGCTCAAAAAGACTTTACCGCAGAGCAACCTGAGTTTGATACAAAAGCCGAACCTACACAACCTTCCGAGCCCGTGAGACGTTCCTTTTACTTTTTACAGAAATGAATCCCCTCTGACGTTGTCTTTCTAGGTCGAACAAGCCCCACAGACGCCTCTCCCCGATCTGACACAAGGTATTCCATCAACGCTGGCCGCAGAATTGGAAGGGCGTATGAAAAAGGGACCATTGAACCTCACAGAAGACCCTACCCAGTCAGAAGAGTACGGCACGGATGGCAGAGGAGGTGGTGACATCCCCAAAGGCGGATATGAGACATCTATCGACCGCCGCAAGGCCCGTATGGCAAATATAGTATACGCAGCCATGTTGCTTGCTGGTGTTGCTGGTATGGGCTATCTGGGACGCAACTGGGAAACCGAAGAGGAGGAGCGCCAACACCCTGAGATCCCATCTGGATGGAGCCCCGGTCTTTGGTACAGCCGTATCAAGGCCCGTACCAGCGATCTCACCAGCTACTACAAGGACCCTGCTTTCCCCAAGCTGCTTCCGGATGAGGACGCCGAGATGCGTCAGCCATACACCCTGGTGCTCAGTCTTGAAGACCTCCTTGTTCACAGCGAATGGACCCGTGAGCACGGATGGCGAGTTGCCAAGCGACCTGGTGTCGACTACTTCCTCCGCTACCTGAACCAATACTACGAACTTGTTCTGTTCACCAGTGTGCCCAGCATGATGGCCGACCAAGTCCTACGCAAACTCGACCCTTACCGCATCATCCGCTGGCCCCTGTTCCGCGAGGCGACCCGATACAAGGATGGAGAATACATCAAGGTATGCCAACTTGGATTTTTCCTCTCTTCTAATTATAGACATTGAGTGCTAATTGTTTTCTAGGATTTGCAATATCTCAACCGTGACCTTTCCAAGGTTATTCTCATCGACACCAAGGAGGAGCACGCCCGCTACCAGCCCGAGAACGCCATTGTTCTGGACAAGTGGACCGGAGACCCGAAAGATAAGACGCTGGTCGCCCTCATTCCCTTCCTGGAATACCTCGCTGGTATGGGCGTCGAAGACGTGCGTACCGTGCTGAAGTCGTTTGATGGCACTCCAATTCCCGCCGAGTTCGCCAAGCGCGAGAAGGCGATGCGTGAGCGCTTCGAGAAGGAGCTTGCCGAGGAGCAGAAGAAGAAGCCCTCGCGTGGTCTGGGCAACTTTGCTGCTGCACTTGGCTTGAAGTCTTCTGCCACCCTGAACGGCGATCAGTCACCCTCCGAGGGTCTGGCTCAGGGCAAGATGCTCTGGGATCAGATCCGCGAGCGTGGTCAAAAGAACTACGAGATGATCGAGTCGGAGATCCGCGCGAACGGCGAGAAGTGGCTCGCTGAGATGGCAGCCGAGGAGGAGAAGGCCCGCCAGGAGCAGATGCAGAGCATGAAGGGCTCCTTCACTGGCATGTTCGGTGCTGGCTCCAAGGATCAGTAATCGACACGAGCCAATTACTTTTTCTCCCTGTCTACCAGATCATCAGGGGTTCGTTCTGATCATTAATGAACGAGTGTAAAATAACGTTTGGGGATTTGTTTTTTGTACAAAATTTTAGTCAGAAATTTTAATAAGAGAAAGACTGAGATTGAACTGATATCAAGGTCGTTGGGCTTTGGATCCCAGGGTATATTGTTGAAATAAGAATCTAAAAGTATATGAATGATCTGATCACGTTAGGTTCACATCTTGGAAGACGGAGACATCCCATATTCCTGTCATGTCAAAGGGGAAACCGTCCATCGTTCCAAAAGTATTAGATATCGACATCATGTCGTCAACGATATCGTTATTAGTTTGGGTCTCAGGCAGCGATATCGCGGCCGGGTTGACCAGCCCGCTGTCTGCCATGGTGGTGGTGAATGCCTGGTCCATTGTAGCACCGGTTCCGGGAAGCCGGTGCATAATGCGTTCACAGTGATCCAGACACATATCTGCTACATCCCAGTCTTCTTCTTCCCGTACACGACGTAAGACTGAGCGCAAGGTTTCGACGTTAGAAAGACAGGATCGTGCAACTTCGCTGTCGGTGGTCTCAAATGCACAACGAACCAGCAATGTTGCCGTTGACGTGAGGTGAAAGGCGCTATCTATCAAAATAATTAGGAAAAAGAGGAATAGTCAGGGAGAATACTTCCAACGTACAGGGTAGCCAGAACTCTGTGAAATTACCCTTTCGCAAAGACGTCATGAAGGCAACAATCTCCTCTGCTGACCTTCTGCATTCCGTTTGGAAATAGCGACGTGCCTCGGTGTTTTCCGTTTCGGAGTTGTTGACTTCCTGTCAGGTTGTTAGAGATCACTCTTTTTTATTTTCCCCTCTATGGCTTACATTTAGTTCAACCCGACTGACAAGCATTTTGACAGCTAAGAAAGCCAATTGCAAGCTGCTTGCTCCATAGATTCGTTCTCCGGTGTGAACTGGGGGGCCTCTCAACCAATCCGGTAGGGAGTCTTCCCATATGTCTAGATCTGTTCGTATTTGCCTGAGTTTCTTGGATGTCTCCCGTGCGGGTTTGTGTTGCAACCCATAGACCAGTGGTAAGAGCTCGCCCAAAATCTCGGTCAACCTGCACAGATAGATGTGACAGTGTGCTGCTCTCACGCGTTCTGTGGTGCGGAGGTTTGATGGGACCAATACGTCCACGGTAGGTAGAGGCACGTCGTATTGGTTTTTGGAAATCTGAGGTGGGACACCATGACCAAAGCTCCCCCTATTTATTGTCAGGTTTGTTCCAAGCCAGAAGAAAAACAAAACTATCTTACCAACGATCGTGAATCACAACTCCCCACCATAGACGAATCCGCTGGTTTTTTTCTTCTGGCGAGAGCTTCCAGTTGCTAGGATCACGGTTCAAACCAAGGCAATTTGCCAAAGATAACATGCGGCCACAGCTGACGGCGTTGCCGGTCATGGAGAAAATGGGTCGTCCAGTCAGGTCGATAAGTGCAGCGCTGATTGTGTCCAACCCGGGGGCTGAGAATTCCTCATGCAATGCGGCAACGGTCATGTTGATCGCATATCGAACGTCGGGTTTCGGATGGCACGCAAGTTTTTGGGTATGTTTCCAGTATACGAGGGACATAGAATAAACTTGACACACTAGTGCAGCTGGTGGATCGTGTAGGTCTTCGGCGATGTATGATTCCCAGAAAGATTCTCCGTCGAAGATCGGAAAAGAAACATTAAAACGATCAATGAAGCTAGAGGGGGAAATATTAGGAGGGTATATAATGAGGGGGGGAAGTCAACGGTCAACATACAGTCTCACTAGGTCGTG